GAGCCACAGTCAGCTCCCAGTCTTGTTTTTGCTGACTGTATAGAGTTTCTCCATCTTTGGCTGCAAAGAATATAATCAATCTGATTTTGGTGTTGACCATCTGGTGATGTCCATGTGTAGTCTTCTCTTGTGTTGTTGCAAGAGGGCGTTTGCTATGACCAGTGTGTTCTCTTGACAAAAGTCTGTTAGCCTTTGACCTGCGTCATTTGGTACTCCACGGCCAAATTTGTCTGTTACTCCAGTTATCTCTTCACTTCCTACTTTTGCATTCCAGTCGCCTATAATGAAGAGGACATCTTTTTTGGGTGTTAGTTCTAGAAGGTTTTGTAGGTCTTCATAGAACCGTTCAACCTCAGCTTCTTGAGCATTACTGGTCCGGGCATAGACTTGGATTGCTGTGATACTGAATGGTTTGCCTTGGAAATGAACAGAGATCATTCTGTTGTTTTTGAGGTTGCAAACCCTTGGACCCAATAAATTCTAGGAATATGTCCTATAGGTATGTGAAAGTCATTTGTGAAATGACTTTGCACAAGATTATTCATTCCAGTACTGTCTGTTACAGCAAAACAAGGAAAAACACAGTAGAAATAAACAATTCAAATAATCATCAGTAGGAATAAGAGGCTGGTCCAACAAATAATAAATTCAGAGAATGGAACCTATAAAGTCATTTAAAAATACTAGGCCACTGTGTTCAAGCCACTTGAACATTCTCCAAGAAACGCTGCAAAGTGAAAAGAGCAGGGTGTATATAATACAGTATGAAGAATACGCTACCACTTGTATTTTAAAAATGGAGACAATGTTTTATTATATCTATTTCTGAAAGGCTGAACAAGATATTGACAATTTTCACTGCCTCAGGGGTGAGAACTGGGTGGCTAGAGAGGGAGACTTTCCACTGTGTACTTTTTTATGATTTGAATTTTCAACAAAATGAATGCTGTACTTATTCAAAACATTAATTAAAAGCTGTTTTCTTTAAATGAAAAATTCCAACCTCACTGAAATACCGCCTTCAAGTGTTAAAAAATAGAAGTATTAAATACACTAATACCATGAGAGGGAGAACCTGTGGATATGTAACAAAAACTTAATCATAAATTTGAGTTAAAATTAATATACTATTATAATAACTTGATAGTAATTTTACTTGTTTTTAGAATTTACTTTATGTAAAACATTTTTAATAATTAATTTACAATATCATGTAAGTTTCAGTTGTACAGCATAGCAATTCAGTTATACACGCACGTGTGTGTGTATATATACAGTTTTTCAGATCCTTTCCCCTTATAGGTCACTTATAGGTTACTACATAATTTTGAGTATAGCTGCTTATGCAGGTCTTTGTAGGTTATCTATCTTATACATAGTACTATGTATATGTTAATCCCAGTCTCCTAGTTTATCACTACCTTCACTCCTTCTTTCCCCTTTAGTAACCATAAGTTTATTCTCTGTGTCTGTCTGTTTCCATTTTGGAAATAAGTCCCTTGTGTCTTCTTTTTTCCTTTTAGATTCCACATAAAAGTGATATGGCATTCGTCTTTCTGTCTGACTAGGTTCACTTAGTGTGATAATCTCTAGGTCCATCTATGTTGCTACAAATGGTATTAGTTCATTCTTTTTTTTACAGCTGAGTAATATTCCATTGTGTATATATACCACATCTTTATCCATCCTTCTGTTGACAGATATTTAGGCTGCTTCCATGTCTTGGCTATTGTAAATAGTGCTGCAATGAACACTGGGATGCATGTAACTTTTCAAGTTATGTTTTTTTCTGGATATATGCCCAGGAGTAGAATTTCATAGAGCCATATGGTAGCTCTATTTTTAATTTTTTAAGGAACTGTCATACTGTTCTCCATAGTGGCTGCACCAATTTACATTCTCACCAACAGTGTAGGAGAGCTCCTATTTCTCCATACCCTTTCCAAAATTTATTATTTGCAGACTTTTTGATGATGGCCATTCTAGCAGTGTGAGGTGACACCTCATTGTAATTTTACTTGTCTTTCTAGAATTTAGAATGGTTTTAAGGCGATAAGTTGAATGATCCAGTCATTTGACAACTCAAATTTTAACATCTCAAATTTTAAAAAGCAGTAAAAATTTTACCACTAATATTCTCCCACTGAAAAACATTTTCAAGAAGGACTTACTCAACATTTCTCCCATTTACTCTCTTCTATTTCTTCAATTTATTTAAAGCTACAAGTGCTGCCAGTCAGTAGCAAACCAAAGCTATGCCACAAGAAACAATAAATGTAGTTGTCACTCACTTTCATGGTCCATTGCTGTAGCTAACTTGGTCTTCGTACAGTCCACCTGCTGGAAAGAAGTTGGAGCAGGCACTCAAGACAGGTCATTTGCCCTGTAACCATTATGGGAGTCTCATGACCAGAACCTCAATCCCCTGTAAGAGATAGCATACCAAAAATGTCTTCCCTAGAGGAACAATAATTTTGTATAAAATTCCAAGATGATTTATTTATTGCCCCCCTGCCCATGGAGAAAGCACTCTAAAGTTCCCTGGGTCTCTGTGTATGAAGATGATACTGACGTCAGCCAGATATTGCCACCAGTACCAAATAGAAAGCCATTTTTGTACACGACTGAAGCAACTTAGCACAGCACAGCACGGTAGGAAAGTGCTCCACTTTTTACCCAAAATACAAACTACTCTACCTCGTTTTTATGTTATACACAAATTCAAGCCTTTTTTAAATGACTGCTATCTAAATCCTACAATAGTTCATGTTTCAAACATAAAGTTTATATGAATCAGAATTTTTTTTAATCTTTATTTCTCCATGTCCTGTGTCATATTCACCACCATTCAGTACCCATGTTAAATGGATGATGCACAAAAAGTTATCTTCAGTATTAGATAAACACAAACCACTGGACCCCTAGAAAATGTTGTTGAGGGATCTCTATCATTAAAACAGAAAAAAAGAAAAAAAAAAAACCCAGGGGAAAGAGTGAACACAGTCCCCCACTACCACAAATTATGCAGCCAAGTCTCCCACATCTGGGGACATTGCAAGGGTCAGCATATCCAGAGTACAACAGATGAGCTGCACACTGGAAAAACCACCTTCATGTTTATGGTATCTCCCCTGCCAGGCAAGTATTGAACCAAGAGTTTTTATGAAACTAAAAATTATGTTCACAAAACCAAGGCTCATTAAAATATTTTTAGTATTAATATACATTTCTTCTGTCTTAGAAATACACAAAACTTTAAAATATTATAGCATTATTCCACAACAAGACTCTATGGACAAATACAAAATGTTTTACAAATAGAATAATCTACACATTCAAAACACTTTCAATAATTTTTTCACGATTTTTTGGAGGCATAGTAAAGATCCAAATGGAATGAGTGTTGCTTTAATTAGGATAGTTATTTTTATAATTTCAATCTTTCACAGCTTAGTGTATATACAATCTTACTGTCAATAAAATAGAGAACTGAGTATTTTCCATCTCTAAATAGCCTTGTAATGAAACAGAAAATACCCTGTGTGTTACATTTCTTGGAGGAACCAGTTGTTGTGAAGAATCATTAGGGCTTGTTTCCTCTGTGAATACTTTCCAACTGCTTTTGGTATGTATGCTGATCCCAAGTGTCAAATAACAGCCTAATCAATTTACTTGAATGTGCTATTCTGGAACATGAGCTGATGATGTGTAGCCTTTCAAATTAATTAATGAGGTAGCTCAATCAATGTAATCATTGGCTTGAAGTGAAAAGGAAGAAAACAGATAAGTTTTCCTATCCACCAAAATGCTCATTTTTCTAACTCATCCATCACACAGTGTTAGGGATGAGTGGAAAGAAAAAATTAAGACTAGAAGATTAATCCGGAGAGAGTGTATGTGAGGAATGGATGAAAATTTCTCACCTAATTGGTGGTTCTGTAATAAAAGATTCCTCATATTCTAACTAATTTCCATTTATATTTGTTTTCTAACATTCTGAACTGTAAGAATCATTTCAATAGATACCACACACACATATAATATATAGTACACAGTAGACAATATGGCACTGGGCAACAATTTAAAAATACTCATGAAATACACATGATTGTAAGGCACTTTTGCGGTTTACAAAAGTGAATGCCTCAAAATTACATATTTCCTCAAAATGAAGAAATATCCTCCTAAAGGTTTATAGGATTCCAGAAAAGTCAAGTAGGCATGAATCATTAGTGATCTGGGTCAACATTTGAGAACCTTGGTATAACTGAAGACTAGAGATATAAGAGGTAAATACTATTTTAAATTACAAAGTTCTGTATGTCAGTGTCAGGATTCTAAGTTCTTCTGGTTTTTTGACCACAGAAGACTGAAGAATAAACAGAACACTCATAGTGGACTGTTGTTAAGATTTACAGATGACCCAGGATCAAGTCAATTGTAAGAAACTGAGAAGAATAAATACTTTGAATTTCTTTTGCAAAGTCATTTTTTACAAATATAGATTAGATAGCATCTTACTCAAACTACTTCAAAATGTGAAATTTCATGTATTTTTAATCAATAATTTAAAATTCCCAATTACTGTTACTCTAAATAATGTGACCTTTTTTTATGACTCTGAAATTAAAAGGAGGTTTGCAATCTACAATATATTTTCTTGTCTAGGCAACACAAAAGAAGCTTAGACATTATAAAGCCAAAAAGTTAAGGGAATAATCACTTTTTCATGCTTTAGTTCCCAGAAATTCCAAAAAAGCCAAATCTCGTGAGGATAGATCATTAGCAAAGTCAGAAGGAAAGATACAACTGTACCTTTTTAAAGAGCATGGACTTTAATAATATGTTATTTCCATGTTACCTAATTTTAAAAATTCAGTGGTTATCTAAATGGCATACCTAAAAATGACATTTCAAACCAATTTTCTTAAAGAATGCAGTCAGTAAATTCTTGTTGCTGAGTGTAGAGATCAAAATGCACACCTAGCACCTTTCGTTATTTACAGTTTAAATCTCTGTTGCACTTCATCTGCAATCATTCCAGAAATTGCAAGCGAAGAAGTGGCAGCGGGGGAAGGTGCGTTCCTCACATGAAGGACGCGGTTCCCAATGTCCCCAGCGCCTCCATCAAACACAAAATCGTCCAGGAGATCTCCATCTCTATCCAGGGCTTGGGCTCTTACTCCAGCGGGGCCCCTGCAAAAGCAAAGAGTGGCAGTCATCTGACTAGGAGAGACAGGACACTTCACATATGTGTCAGTGGTTTCAAAGTATTCTTAAAGCAATAAAGTCTTTACTCTTTTAAGTGTCCAGTTATGTGAAAACCCAACCAGTTTGTAATTAGCCAAAGGCTGTCAGTTGTAGCCTGTCAAACATACATCCTTAGCCTAAAATACACAAATGGGTTCTTTCCGAAAGTAGCAGATAAATCCATACTTAATTAGACTAGATGTATTTTTATTTGAATTTACAAAATGAATTTATTATAAAATCAGTCATTAGAATATAAGGCTTTTCTAATTGATACAAAGCAAAGAAACCAAGAATTATATGTGTCAGCTACATTCCTATAGCCGCTACAGACTTCTATGTATTTTTGTGTTTTGTTTTGGTTGGATACTATTAAAATTTATGGAGAAAAATATTTGCAAATGGTAGCAAATTCTTGTTTTGTAGTTTGTTTTTATTTTTAACAGTTTAGCCTTTAATATCAGGATAACCTTCAATCAAAGAGAAATGACCTGAGAAGGAAATGGTAACCCACTCCAGCATTCTTGCCTGTAAAATTCCATGGACAGAGGAGCCTAGCAGGCTACACAGCCCACGGAGTCCAAAGAGTCGGACAAGACTCGGTGATTAAACCTTGCGTTGCTTTACCTTGCCTAATACAGTAAGATCCTTTAATACTAAAAGTTCTGCATTATAACACTTGAGTTCACAAATTAGATTTTTTTTCTTTTTAGTTTTTAGAAAAAGTTACAGATAAAACCTGAATAAAATATTTTTGGAGTCCAAAAGAACCTCCACTGAAACCATGTATGAAAACCAGTTAAAAACAGGTGCCTTTTATATACCACCAAGACTCAAGAAATCAGGCAATGATATTAAACAATTTTGAATGATTCTGGGCCAATGCAGATACACACTTGAGGAAGATACAAAGAACATTATGAGAGTACTACCCTCTAGGACCTCAGACTAACTAAGGAAAGATCATGATAATAATAGCTTTTTTTGTTTTTTCTACTAAGTGTTTAATCCATGCTAGGAATTCTCTCATTTAATCCTCACAGCTCTAAGAGGCTAATATAGTTTATATTTAACAGCAAAGAAAATAGCAAGATTAAGCAACTTGCCAGAAGTCACACAGCTAAAAGTTCATTTGTAGAGAGATAAGTAAGAATTATAACAATGAGGGTGAAAAATTCTATAATAAAAGTAAGTAGTTCGTAATACTGAAGCCTGCAAGCAATTTGGACAGGAGATTTCTGGGCTGTAAAGATTTCCAGGTAAGAATCAGATACATCGCTACAACACAAAAAGACAGAATGGGAAGCTGAATTTTCTTAGGGTAAGGATATATAACAGCCTACTGGCCAGGGTGTGGTCCATTTAGGTCAATTCTGTGTTTATAAACTTTCTCAACTCATCAAAACAGCATCTCTCCTCTCTTTTCTTGGATAATACTCCTGTTGCTGTTGTGAGCATCTCTATGAGTTTTCTTGTCCCTCTCCTTTTATCTCGCAGATGGCCAAATGAGGGGACACACAGTGGCATGACCAGCTACTGATGTTGAGGGTTCAAAAATTTTTTCTCTCCATGAAGGTTTAGTTAGTATATTCTCCTTACTCTTTGTAAGCAAAGAGAAGTTAATGCTAATTAACTAGTTAAAATGTGTCTATAACTTATTTATTTCTCTTATAAACACCAACTATTTTTTCAACATCCCCTACATTCCTGCCCAAGTATTCAAAACCTATATATATATATATATATAATCCAAACTGTAAAAAACAATATACAAGATTAAGTTTTTCTAAGGAGCTTACTTTAGGTTGAACTAAAGTAACTATTTCATATGAAATGTTTAAATTATCAAATTCTTCATGTGTTTATGTTTCCTATTCAGCACTTAATGAAACTCCAGGGTTTTTCTTTGCATGATTCCATACAGGCATTCCCCCTTATCTTGAGGTAAATACTGTAACTCGAAGTTTTAGGTAAAATAAACCATAAACATCTTCAGGGCCAGAATTGAATCTTGCACAACACTCCTATTTCTGCCCTGGTGTCCAGATTTGTGTACATAAGAAGTATTCAATAGAGGCTTTTCAGGTGGCGCAAAGACTCCACCTGCCAATTCAGGAGACACAGGTTCAATCCCTGAGTTAGGAAGATACCCTGTAGGAGAAAATGGCAATTCACTCCAGCATGCTTGCCTGGAAAATCCCATGAACAGAGGAGCCTGCTGGGCCATAGTCCACAGGGTCACAAAGAGTTGGACATGACTGAGCATACAGGCTCAGTCTCTAGAAAATTTTAATTGTTTAACTTTTAATTCTATTTTAATAGCTGAAAGAACAAATGATTCAGAAAATACAATATTTGTAAATTTAGCTATATTTAACTGTTTAATGTTATTTCTAGCAACATATTTTGCCCTATTTGTAACTAAATTTAATAGGAATGCAAGTCTTAGACCCTTAAATATGTCTAGAAACAACAGGTGAATATGTAACTAATGGCATTTATTCTTCTGAGAAGTGTTGTATTTATTGCTTTATTATTCTGTGGCAGGCATTATCCCGTGGGCTAGAAAACAGCTATGACAGGCTACCACTGACACCTTTGTTGATTAGTTGCTAAGTTGTGTCAGACGCTTTTGCAACCCCATGGACGATAGCCCACCAGGCTCTTCTGTCCAGGGGATCTCCCAGGCAAGAATGCTGGGGTGGGTGGCCATTTCCTTCTCCAGAAGATCTTCCTGACCCAGGGATTGAACCCATGTCTCCTGCATGAAGAGGCTGATTCTCTACCACTGAGCCACCATGGAAGCCCACTAACATTTTTGGCCGGTTCCAAATAGGACAGTTTAGTATTTTATAAAACTTACCATGGGATCTACTGTAAACCTAAAAATAGAAGTTCACATGAGCATATTTAAATTGGGAGTGGTGATACAGGGCAAGTCAACCACTCCATCTTAATTTCCAAACTCAATGGAAGGGTATAAGGTATTTTTATTATTAATATTCAACCAAACTGGACTGCAACAAAAGGACATGTAAATGTTTTGTGAGGACTTGAATAACATGAGTACTCTGTAACGAGGGTGAAGGAGTTCTATGAATCCATTAAATAAAATGTTTCATGTTTTTTTTTAAGTTTCTAGTTGTTGGTTATACATTTTGAATATAGCAGTGTGTACATATCTTCCCAAACTCCCTAACTATCCCTTCCCCACTCTCTGGCAACCATAAGTTCATTTTCTAATTTGCACACGATGCATTTTTAGCTTGCAATACTGTTCTCGCAATTTTTTAGATTTACCTTCCAATTAACTAATTTTCTCTTACAGGAGATCTAACCAGCTGTCTAACTTAATCATTTGAGTTTTAAAATTTAAGAACTATACTTTTCATTCCTAGAAATTCTGATTACTTGGTTTCTAAATTTGCCTAGGGTATTTTTTATATTATTATTCTTTTTTCAGTTTACTTCATTTCCTTTTTTAATTCACTGGCATATACTTATTTTATGGTTTCTAATATTACTATTACCCTAAATTGTTAGGGGTCTAATTCTAGTATTTATTCTATCTGCTTACTCTCACTTACGGTGCTTTGTAACTTTTGCTGCTAAGTTCCTATTCAGCAGGATTTTATCTGGGGGAATAGTGTGGGGGTTGGGTTGAAGTTATGTCCCTCTACAGAAGGCTTTATATTTTGTTTTTATTGGTAAAAATAAATACACTTATATTTGCTTTTATCAGTACAAATAAATATACTGATATATATAATATAAATAAAATGAACAGTATAATGAACTCCCATTTTATCAGAAGCTCCACATATTACCATTCTGGGAACACCCTTTTTTTTTTAATGGAAAATCTTAAACATGTACAAAAGTAAAATGAACAGTATAATGAACTCCCATGTATGTATTACACAGTTTCAATAACCAACACACAGCCAATTTTGTTTCATCTGTACCCCACTCTCTGTCTTCCTCTCTCCACTGGATTATTTTAAAGCAAACCCTAGATGGCATATCATCCTGCTTCAACATATATTTCTCTTAAAAGGATTCCTAATAATAAGACAAAACTACTAATTGCTTCTTGATGAAAGTAAAAGAGGAGAGTGAAATAGCTGGCTTAAAACTCAACATTCAAAAAACTAAGATCATGGCATCCGGTCCCATCACTTCATGGTAAATAAATGGAGAAACAATAGAAACGATGACAGACTTTATTTTCTTGGGCTCCAAAATCACTGCAGATGTGACCACAGCCATGAAATTAAAAGACGCTTGCTCCTTGGACAAAAAGCTATGACCAACCTAGACAGCATCTTAAAAAGCAGAGACATCACTTTGCCAACAAAGGTCCATCTAGTCAACACTATGGTTTCTCCAGTAGTCATGTATGGATGTGAGAGTTGGACTATAAAGAAAGCTTAGCGCCAAAGAATTGATGCTTTTGAACTGTGGTGTTGGAGAAGACTCTTGAGAGTCCCCTGAACTGCAAGGAGATCCAACCAGTCCATCCTAGAGGAAATCAGTCCTGAATATTCACTGGAAGGACTGATGCTGAAGCTGAAACTCCAATACTTTGGTTACCTGATGGGAAGAACTGACTCATTGGAGAAGACCCTGATGCTGGGAAAAATTGAAGGCGGGAGGAGAAGGGGACGACAGAGGATGAGATGAATGGATGGCATCACCGACAAGATGGACATGAGCTTGAGAAAGCTCTGGGAGTTGGTAATGGACAGGGAAGCATGGCATGGGGTCGAAAAGAGTCAGACACATCTGAGAGACTGAACTGAACTGAACTAATTGTTTACTATCAACAATATTCAGTTTGTGGTCAAATAGCCCTGATTTTCACTCACTCTAATCTGTTTAAAGTGAGAGAGTGAGAGGGAAAATTATTAGTCTGAAGCAGGATCCAAACTAGGCTGGATCTACACTTAGCTTACGTTTCCTAGATCAAAATGGTGGTACAAATTGAAACTCCAAGTACTTGTGAGTGCAGGCCCAGGGTTCTAGATTTTTACAGATTTTTTTTCTAGACTTCCTTCTCACTGAGAGTATAGACTTTCCAGAGTCCCTGGCTTTACAAAGGGATCTCAGTTCCAACTTCTCACCTTTTACAGACCCAAGGCTTTCTTTCCAGCACTTGAATGGCAATTAAAATATAAGTCCCTAATGTATCTTGATTTGGGTGGTGGATACAAGTCTTACAATTCCAAAATTCATTGAGCACTTAAAATATGCATATTTTATTGTAAGTAAATCATATATCAATTAAAAATGAAACTCAAGTTATATTGACATCAAAATCAGAAAATGCTCCCCATCCCTCCAGGTCAGCATCAACATTTCTCTTAGTTCTTGAGTTTTCAATTTCCTCTTTGTTTTCATCTCTGAGATCCCCTTATTTCCTTGTACTCTCAGCAATAAGTATTTCAAAGGGTTTTTTTAAATATATTTTTCCAGACTCTCTTAGTGTTTTGTAGTGTGAAGGCTACTACATTCTCTAGACCAGTGCTCAATCAAGGGAGACTGCCCCCTAGAGGGCATGTGGCAATGTCTGGAGACATTTCTGTTGTCATACCAGGGAAGTACTACTGGCATCTACTAGGTAGAGGCCCGGGATGCTGCTAAACATCCTACAATGAATTGGACAGTCCCCCCACAGTAAGAGTTATTTGGCCCAAATGTCAATGGTACCAAGAATGAGAAAACATTTTTTGCACAACGGTCTAGATCACCTTTATTACAGAATTTCTGGCTTTTACCCTTGTATTTCACAATGATATTGTGTAGTCTTTAGCTATCACTTATGATGAAAACATCTTGTCTGAAAATTTACTTGCCTGAAAAATATCTCCCAAGAAGGTATTTTCAAAATGAAGTATGGAAAAGAGGGGATCTTGGCAAATATGTTTTCATGTTTTATGTCCTTACAATGCTAAAACATACAAACTAGTGAGATTACCACATCAAAATTAATCACAGAACAAATTAAAGGGCTTTACAGCTTAAATCAGGAAACTTAGAGATCATCATTTAATAATGAGAAGTTTGTAGGCTATCACTTTACATATAGGCTACAGGGCTTCCCTGGGGGCTCAGACGGTAAAGCGTCTGCCTGCAGTGAGGGAGACCCGGGTTCGCTCCCTGGCTTGGGAAGATCCCCTGGAGAAGGAAATGGCAACCTACTCTAGTACTGTTGCCTGGAAAATTCCATGGACTGAGGAGCCTGGTAGGCTACAGTGCATGGGGTCGCAAAGACGCGGACACAACTGAGCGACTTCACTTTCACTTTATATTCCAGTCTAATGTTCACCAGTAAGTTACTGCCCAAGATGCTCTGGCTAGGCAATGAGAAGTCAAGCTGTATCCCCTTTGGAGGCTACTGTAACTAAAGGACACCATCTTGAGCTAAAAATCCCACTAAAAGTGCTGCTTTGGTTCTTTTTTACTATCCAGAACTGCCTAATATGCTTCTACCCCAATATTAATGATAGAGCATTTATGGGGTCACACGGGTTGCAAGATATGCAGGACTCGGGCTTCAAAATGTGGGAAAGCCTAATTATCTCACTTATTATGATGATGAAAATTATTTAAGATTCTAAGCATGTAACAGGTATGAGAATAACATAATGAACACCAATTTTTTAATCAAACCGCTTAAGAAATAAAGCATTCTAGATACGATAGAAGCGTCCTGTCAAACTCTCTGGATCCCATTCTCTTCTTTCCCTGGAGTTAACTTCTCTCTTCAATTAGGTATTTATCACTTCCATGTTTGTTTTTATTTTTACATGTGAAATCCATATACAATATGGTATAAACATATAAATGGTATCAAACATATCTTCTACAATTTTCTCTTCATTACAGATAATTTCTTGCATTTCATAGCTACAGGAATCAAATGGAATTGCTGAATATGTTCAGCTTCTCTTTCTCCAGAGAGAAACCCATCTGTGACTGAGTTGAACTTGTCCCCAGATGCACCAGCCTACATTGCTGTGTGTTTTCTACCACATGGTAATGAGACTGGTAACTGGAATCCACACCCTTCCTCCCAGAGACAAGAGTATTCACCAAAACTCACAAGCTCCAAGTTCACTTCTACCATATGAAATCCACTGGTCTAAAGAGTTTCCCTCAGACTTCTACAAAAGTGTGGTAATCAAATATGGGTAGTGAATTCATTCCAACTATTTATGTATAGAATTCACTACACTCATCTATTGTGTTTTCCAAGGAATATTAACAGCAGTAAAAGACACTTGATTTGACCCATCTATTTTCAGATACAAAACACAACGAGACTGCTAAAAAAGACCACTGAAAACATAAAAGCCTTCATTTATAGGTGAATGAAAGAACATAAAGCCTAGATATTTTTATCCCTTCCATTTCAGAAGGTGAGTAGAGAGGTGAGAAAGATACAAGTAAAAACATTAGCTCGGTTTAATAGTTCTAAGCATTCAAAGAGGCTGGTCTGGGAATGACACATAAGTCAGATTTAGACCAGGACGCTCCCCTGAGGGAGACAGCTGACGTGATCACTGCTCTCTTCCTAGATACAGAGTCGAGCTGCTGACATTTTACACCAGGCGAGTCCCGCAGCTGTTACTGAGGAGAAAGACATGGTGCTCTAGAGATTCATGGAGGGATCGGTTAAGGGAAGAGGGAGCCTCAAAGACCATGGCTGATTAGGCCTAACAAATGGCTTGTTCAGGAAAAAAGGGGAGCACCCTAAAAATACCACCACAAAGGAAATAGGCTTATGTGGTATTTAGGACAAAGTAAAGTCCAGAAAACCTTTTCTCTTTAAGAAAATAAAAACAACTTTAAATAGTCCTTCCTTTGCCCCACACCCCTGTAGCAAGGACTTAAACTGATTGCTACCGTACTATTTCCCACTCCTGTTCTGCAAATAGTCCTTGAGTGCAATAGGACCCAAGAAACAGCAAAATAAGTAGAGAGGAAGCAAGGTAAGACAGCAGGTATGAGTTATGTTTCTAAAAGGTTTTAAGAATCAATTAAAGTATAACGTAGCTTATTACCTAATTAGGTAATATGGTGATCAATGATCTTGCACAGAACTGAAGTCAGAAGGCTTTGGAATCACAAGTGGCCAGGGAGATTAAAAAACTTTCAGGTGAGATGTTTTATTATGAGTGATAGCTAGACACAAGGGTGAAGATGGCATCATAATATAACTGCAATGGAGAGTTCAGCTTAGTCAGCAGTTTCTCTAGATAATCATAAACAGACCTAGTTCAAGCACTAAGGGGAGTAATGCGGCAACACCCAAACTGCAAGGGGAATGAGCAACTTGTTAAGAAAGAGAGATCATGCAAAAATTCAGGGCACACACTGACTGCATGGGTGCTTAGAGTCACGAAGTCAGACCCACCTCCCAAGTTCACATAGGTCATGAATGCTTTACAGCTTTTCCTTACAGCTTTACAGCTTTTCCTTACCTAAGTATGTCACTGATAGTAATTTCAGGGATAAACTTTTGAAGGTGCTTCACTGTTGCACTGAGAAAACATGCTTTGTACATTTCATTAACTCCATAGGAGAAATTCTGGAACACCAGTTTAATCAAGCCACTGAAAGCAAAGAAAATAAAATCTTTATGAGAGAGAATTCTTTATTACTGTAAAACATCTCTACAACTATTAGAGTTGGGGGGTTGTGGGGAGGAGGGTGGAACCACAGAAATCTAGGCGAAATCCAAAACACCACATATTAAAAAGAAAATCAACTTTTGACCTACGTTAGAAGGAAACCTCATCGAAGGAGTACCTTCCAAATTCCAGAAGTAAGCACCTTTCAAATTCAAATTCCCAGGTGGTGCTGGTTTCAAACTAGGATTCTATAAAGCCTGCCAAAACCAGGGCTTTCTAATGCAATGCTACCTGCTCTTAAAACACACCTAAAAGACATTTACAGATTTTTAAATTAGGGACATTTACCCTACTTCTCTTTAGTCAGCCAGAGGTCAGATATGCTAGTAGTGATTCTCAAGTAAGACTCTGGGGAGCCTGTGTTCATATGTATTTTTACAAGCACGTAGCTGGGAAGCCCCACCCTAAACTGGTTTCAGAATCTGCGCAGGGTGAAATGCAAGTAGAGCTCTGAAAGCTTTCTAGTGATTTTGATGATGTGAAACCCTCTAGAGAGCAACACTGCTAAAAGGACAAAATACTTCAGTTATTTCTTACCATAGTAAACGATCTGCATTTCATATCAATGTAGCAGTACTGCTAATTTTCCAGAAAAGAAAACAACCTTGCTTATCAGCAGTTTCTCCAGAGGTTTTCAAAATCATGGTGACTAGCCTGAAATGATCTCATCAAAGTAAGCCATCTACTGATTTTGAGAGAAACTTTCTTTTTTTTCAAACTCAAAGGTTAGCAAAACAAGATTTGGATTGTCAGATGGGTGATCACTCTTGGCTCTTTTTTAACCAAGACATCACCCTGGCTCATCAGAATTTTCTTGAAGTAGTTAAAATGTTATGCTTATTTCACAAAGCTCTTAATTCCGGCTGTTTAAAAAATCAATATACCAATCACAAATATGAAGATTTATCCAAATAAACCTAATATCAAGAAGGAAAAAACTTCCCATATTAAAAGTATAAGCACTTAAAATCATTTTTTAAGGAAATGAAGTTACCTCTTGATCATTATATCCATAATATCTCTGGCACTGAAGTCAAAGGGTCTGTAGCCTTCTCGTTTAAAGGCAAGAACTGCATTTGGCCCTAGCCAAATATTGCCATCCATCCTTGGTGTGAAGTGAACTCCTAGGAAAGGAAATCGGCTATCGGGGACCTACAGATTGAACACAACAGAGCCCCATTTCATACTGCGTTTTATTATACACACAAACATTGAACTGGTAATGTAAAACACCTTCTTCCCATGCATTTACTTGTGATCTGTGCTCAGGTTAATACTTTTCTACATACGTGCTTCTGCCTAAAAATGCCACACAGGAAACCTGACGCCATGACAATGAGGCACACTGTCCCATCTATTCCTCTTTCTGGGTAAAGAAAAAAACTGTCCTACTTTAGGTTATTCCCCACTCCTACCATCCCCAACTAGGAATCTATGCAGCTGACAAGTAAAATCAGAGTTGCCAGAAAAAAAACCCACCTTCACAACACAGGCTTTTGTCAAGTGGGAATGTAACAAGTTGGAACAGATGATGGAAGTTTTGGCAAGGTCAAAAACACTGAATAGCTGAATACTGGTAGTTCAACCTAGTAGGTCCAGACAGAAGAATGAGCTTTTCATTTCAATGCCCATGTCTTCTACACCATGAAACTACAGAGTGGCCACATGCCCTTTCTTGCCCTTATAGATAAGTGAACTGAGAAAGAAGGCATATGGGCTTGTTACAAGGAGAAGTTCTCTTAGGAGTACTGCTTCCAGAGAGAGGCGGGAGAATTGGTTCTTTCCTCACTGTTCTTCCTGTGGTACACTCAAGCTTTCCTGTACTCGTGGGTGAGTACTGACAATTTAGGGTTTCCCTTGTGGCTCAGCTACTAAAGAATCTGCCTGCAATGCAGGAGACCTGGGTTCAATCCCTAGGTTGGGAGGATCCCCTGGAGAAGGGAAAGGCTACCCACTCCAGTATTCTGGCCTGGAGAATTCCATGGACTGTATGGTCCATGGGTAGCCATGATATCAGAACTAAGATGTAGGGATTTAACCCAGAGAAACAGGTGGAATGTTTGAACTAAAAAGCCCTTTAAAATATCTCTTGCGTCTAACCCTGGGAAAAGTTTTTGTTTCATTCCGTTTTTGCCCACAAGCCTCTTGAGAAAGCAGAGGCATCATGGTGTGCGTGTGTGCTCAGTCGCTCAGCTGTGTCCGATTCTGTGTGACTCTATGAACTGTTACCCATCAGACTCCTCTGCCCTGATGGGAGAGGATTTTCCCAGCAAGAATACTAGAGGAAGCTGCCATTTCCTCCTCCAGGGGATCATCCTGACTTAGGGATCAAGCCTGCGTCTCCTGCATTGGCAGGTGGATTCCTTACCACTGAACCACCTGGGAAGCCAAATGTATCATTACCTACCGGATAAATATTTCCTCTTACAAGATAGCGCTTTTCTGGCTTCAAGATTAGGTAATCTCCCCGGAATGGTACAATTCGAGGATTGGGATTGCAGCCACTCAACTCGGAAATACGATCTGAGTAAAGTCCTGCACATGTCACAACATACTGACATTGAATCTCCTCTCCCTAGGGCAAGAGAAAAGAATAGTGACTTGTGGGAAGCAGAAAGAATAGGTGATAGCAAAGACAATAAAGGCACAGATATGGATCATTCATTCATTCATTCATTTACGGCTGCATCGCACAGCTTGCAGGATCTTAGTTCCCTTACCAGGTATTGAACCCAGGCCCCTGCAGTGAAAATGTCCTAACCACTGAACTGCCAGGGAATTCCCATCTTTTTATTCTTTTTTAAAAGATAAGATTAAATACAAGTATCAGCAAAAGAAGTTCTTCAGCATTTAGTTGGAAGGTAGAAACTCAGAGCAGTGGCACACAAGAGGATATCAGCTTAAATTCTGTACTTTATAGTTACAGTGGTTGACCTAGCGAGGATACTTAACAAGCCACATACAGACAGCTCTTTTTTAAAAAGACTTACCGTGGGACTTCTTCACTACTTATTGCATGAAGAAGCCACCTTCATTTAGGTGGCCTCAACCCATTCGGCCTCCTCTGTATTTCAAATAGCTTCTCCTGTCTTATCTAGGGGTAATTATCCTGTTACTCTCAGGTTGCTTCACACTCAGTAACCTTGCTCAATTCCAACTGTAATCTACCCAGCAAGCAATTCCCTTCTGATCAGTATCTACTTTGCAAAATGAGGCTACTTTTCAAAACTCAGTCATTCAACCCAAATTTACTGAGAATGCACACTATGGTCAAGTTTTGCTTTTTTTTTTTTTTTTTCAAGGTTTGTTTTAATGACTAGGAGACTACTAATCTTAGGCTGTGTTTTCTCATAAATTTTATTTGTGATTATCATCTGCATATTTTTCACTTTACTCTGATCGGGTTAGCCAATTTGTGACTCAATTTCCTAAATGATTTCATTTAACTCTAATTCCCTACCATTCTCCATTTCTTTTTTTTTTCATTTATTTTTATTAGTTGGAGGCTAAATTACTTTACATCATTGTAGTGGTTTTTGTCATACATTGAAATGAATTAGCCATGGATTTACATGTATTCCCCATCCCGGTCCCCCCTCCCACCTCCCTCTCCACCCAATCCCTCTGGGTCTTCCCAGTGCACCAGGCCCGAGCACTTGTCTCATGCACCCAACCTGGGCTGGTGATCTGTTTCACCCTAGATAATATACGTGTTTCGATGCTGTTCTCTTGAAACATCCCACCCTCGCCTTCTCCCAGAGTCCACAAGTCTGTTCTATACATCTGAGTCTCTTTTTCTGTTTTGCACATAGGGTTATCGTTACCATCTTTCAAAATTCCATATATATGTGTTAGTATACTGTAATGGTCTTTATCTTTCTGGCTTACTTCGCTCTGTATAATGGGCTCCAGTTTCATCCATCTCATTAGAACTGATTCAAATGAATTCTTTTTAATGGCTGAGTAATATTCCATGGTGTATATGTACCACAGCTTCCTCATCCATTGGTCTGCTGATGGGCATCTAGGTTGCTTCCATGTCCTGGCTATTATAAACAGTGCTGCGATGAACATTGGGGTGCACGTGTCTCTTTCAGATCTGGTTTCCTCAGTGTGTATGCCCAGAAGTGCGATTGCTGGGTCATATGGCAGTTCTATTTCCAGCTTTTTAAGAAATCTCCACACTGTTTTCCATAGTGGCTGTACTAATTTGCATTCCCACCAACAGTGTAAGAGGGTTCCCTTTTCTCCACACCCTCTCCAGCATTTATTGCTTGTAGACTTTTGGATAGCAGCCATCCTGACTGGTGTGTAATGGTACCTCACTGTGGTTTTGATTTGCATTTCTCTGATAATGAGTGATGTTGAGCATCTTTTCATGTGTTTGTTAGCCATCTGTATGTCTTCCTTGGAGAAATGTCTGTTCAGTTCTTTGGCCCATTTTTTGATTGGGTCATTTATTTTTCTGGAGTTGAGCTGGAGGAGTTGCTTGTATATTTTTGAGATTAATCCTTTGTCTGTTGCTTCGTTTGCTATTATTTTCTCCCAATCTGAGGGCTGTCTTTTCACCTTGCTTATAGTTTCCTTTGTTGTGCAAAAGCTTTTAAGTTTCATTAGGTCCCATTTGTTTATTTTTGCTTTTGTTTCTAAAATTCTGGGAGGTGGGTCATAGAGGATCCCGCTGTGATTTATGTCGGAGAGTGTTTTGCCTATGTTCTCCTCTAGGAGTTTTATAGTTTCTGGTCTTACATTTAGATCTTTAATCCATTTTGAGTTTATTTTTGTGTATGGTGTTAGAAAGTGTTCTAGTGTCATTCTTTTACAGGTGGTTGACCACTTTTCCCAGCACCACTTGTTAAAGAGGTTGTCTTTTTTACATTGTATATCCTTGCCTCCTTTGTCAAAGATAAGGTGACCATAGGTTCATGGATTTATCTCTGGGCTTTCTATTCTGTTACATTGATCTATATTTCTGTCTTTGTGCCAATACCATACTGTCTTGATGACTGTGGCTTTGTAGTATAGTCTGAAGTCAGGCAGATTGATTCCTCCAGTTCCATTCTTCTTTCTCAGGATTACTTTGGCTATTCGAGGTTTTTTGTATTTCCATACAAATTGTGAAATTATTCGTTCTAGTTCTGTGAAAAATACCGTTGGTAGTTTGATAGGGATTGCATTGAATCTATAGATTGCTTTGGGTAGTATAGCCATTTGACAATATTGATTCTTCCAATCCATGAACACGGTATATTTCTCCATCTGTTTGTGTCCTCTTTGATTTCTTTCATCAGTGTTTTATAGTTTTCTATGTATAGGTCTTTTGTTTCTTTAGGTAGATATACTCCTAAGTATTTTATTCTTTTTGTTGCAATGGTGCCATTCTCCATTTCTATTGCTTTATTTCTTACAGAGGAAACAACTAATACCTTCTCCCTCCATGTAATTTCTTGTTCCTAGATTTCCTTAAGAGAGGACCTGTTTCTGAAGCCTTGAGGTTCTCATCTGCCTCAGTGTTCTCTTTCTTTCTAAACTTTACTGATTTATCCTTATCCTATCTCTGTGTTCGTCCTATTTTTGCCCAGCTACCAAGATAAGCCTCTTTTCAACAGTTACACAACCACACTTCGGACAAAAATCAGATGAAACTTCTTTGCAGTGAATTCAAATTAGCTAGACTAAACTCATGAAAGTTTTAAGATCCTTGAAGTCAAAGGACTATGTCAACAAAAATATAAATGCCTCTTCTAAGTAGATTAATATCTTTTCTGTTCATCTAGAACTATATACCAGAAGTACAAAAAAATTTCACGTGATATTAATCTACTAGTAACTACTTGAAAAGTCAGCAATTCTTTTGTTCTTAGAACATAAAATGAAGATAAGTCTTATGATAAACGTAAAGATAAAAGAATTCATAGAACGGTACCAGAATGCAATAACTTAGAAGTTCTTTTAAAAACTTGAGGAACAACTTCAAAGGAAAAAAAATTATTAAATAATTCAGTAACATTAATTTCACACCCAAAATGGAAATTTTTAATTTACATTGACTTATTAGTTCAACCATAAAAGTCTTTTAAAAAATAAACTATGTAAAAAATAAAATAAAATAAACTATGCATCATTATTGCTATTTCATAAGCTTCCCTGGTGGTTCAGACAATAAAGAATCTTCCTGCAATACAGGAGACCAAGGTTTGATCCTTGGGTCGGGAAGATCCCCTGGCGGAGGAAATAGCAACCCACTCTAGTATTCTTGCCTGGAGAATTCCATGGACAGAGGAGCCTGGGGGTTAAATCCAAGGGGGGACAAAGAGTCAGATGCAATGGAACAACTAACACTTCCACACATTCAAGTGAAACAGATCTCTCCCCCATATTCAACCTATAAATCTTTAGTTTGCAACTCCTCTCCTCAAAAGTTTATTTTAAAAATTCATTTTTTTAGCTTGTCATAAATACATAGATATTCAACTTGATAAGCTGACTCAAAATTTTAAATTATATTTTATAATTTTAAAATATATGAAAATTATATTTAAAATTTTAAGTTATATTATTTAATTATACTAGAGGAAAATGCCAAAATAAAAGTAACAACTATAGAAGCTGAATGAAATACATATCCCCTGGTTTCCCACAGTCCCCTGTGTATCCTGGATCACATGATGCCACACTTTAGTGAAAATGTTCCTTAGGGTAGGGGTGGAAACACACTTTTAATCCTTCTTTTTTTTTTTTTAGCTTTATAAAAGTTTTAAGTAAATATTTCCATCAGTTCGTTTTATGTACTTCTTGAAAACAAAATTCACAGGTTTAACATTAATGATTTAAAATATTATACATCAAGAAAGCCAATTCTCACTCATGCAACAAGTTGGTCTGTGTTCTCTTTACTCCTGTTTGCCAGACAATCTTCAATAATTTCTGCAAAGAGACTTCTCGTCCACAGAGTATATGCAAGAGGTGAAAGCTGGCCAGCAGCTTTATGAAAACAGTCTGAACCATAACATGGGAAGTCCATCCCACTTACACTTCATTCCATAATCACATTCATCACTAGCAAACTGCACAAAGGTCATCATTTCTTGAATGAGAGCCAAAGCTTTTAGCCTCTCTTCATTACTTGGTGCTTCAACAATTGTCTTGCAAATTCCCTTGAAGCTGGCATCTGTTTTAGGGAGCTCTCCATACCCAGCATCATTTTCCTCTCCTGGGACAACCAAGCCTGCCTCATGAAAAGTCTTTGTCATGACTTTCTTATCTTTATATTTCATCTTCATGGTTCCCTGTTCCAGAGAGTAAACCCAGTGCTCTGGCTGCTTCTGTGCATTTTTCATCTATGTTTTTCAAGAGACCAGTTTTCTTCTTATCTGTTTTTTTCATTAAAAAAAAAAAATCTGATGGCAGCAAACACGTTATCTCCTTTTTGATCAATTATACAATTTTTCTTTGCTCCATCTATACCAACATATACAGGAGGTTGGTTCATCAGGAGACTCCCTGAAATACTCCATGTGGAAATGAATTTTATTATATGCAGAAATAATGGTCTGGAACTCAAGAAGGCCACAGCAAAACCTCCAGTGAAGGTTAAAATCGGGCTTGCTGATTTTTTGTTCATTTTATGTTTCATAAAGACCCACTGATCGAAGTCCAAAGTTTGCAGAAAAGGGAATTGGCTGACTTCTCAGGATCAAGTCCTTTATAGAAATTCCAGAAGTGATAGAAATCTCCAGGCAGAGAATGCCTATAGTGATTTTCTATACTTATTTTCTTTTTAATATCTCTTTTCTAAAGTCACTGGAGACCTCAGTTTTACAGGATTTACTCTTACTTCACATCACCTGTTTATCACACTCCCCACCAGGCCTGCACTTCCCACCACTGCTGACCATTCTGCTTCTTAATCCTTTTTTGAATGGACACCCTGGCTGTTCTGCCACTTGGGCCACATGATCCAGCAGCTCTGACAGTAATTCAAGTGTGTGGCTGATCATGATGTTTTAAGGAGACTTTGGTAGGTCCCTATGGGAGGAATCACAGCACAGAACTTTAGGATTTTGGAAGAAAGTTACACCATCCTCTGCAGGTAATTAGCCTCCTTTTGAGAAAGTGCTTCTGCCTTTGATTCAACACTTGACCACAGGTCACCAAGTTACCATTTGAACTATCCATTATGAACTGGGTATTTTCTTACTCACCAGGCCACAAAACTGGGTGTGTACACAGCACTCTGTCATCAAGAGGAAGTGGAATATACAAGATCAGAGATGTATAGGTCCTGCAGGCACACATAAGTTGTGGAGGCAAGTGGCTCAAGTGCCCATGACCTCCACTGCTAAATCATCTCCTCCCTCTGGACCTGCCTCGGCCCCGTGGAGAGTAATCAGCTGACCAAGGAAGGAAAAAATACAGGCCAGGCTGACAAATGGTTCTGCACAACATTCTGACATCACTTGGAAAGAACAGCTACAGCACCAGCACCCCACTTGGGAGTGGCCCTGAAGAACTGTAGTAAAGGGCAATCTTCCCAAGGGGGCAGAAAACAGAGTGTCATACTTGGTTATTTATCTTACCTAGAAGGAGAGATAGCTAGAAGTATGGATCTATACTGTTTCATATGCAGTGACTGTTTGCTGGATGGTCAGAAAAAGAAGCTCTGGAGAAAAGGTATGTGAATGGATCTCTCAAAACAGGTTTGGATAAAAGAGACATTTGAGTTCTATATGAATGCTCACTGAAGAGTGATCATGGAAGAGGAAAATTTTAATAATCAGTAGACAAGATGACCTGCCCTGTGGATGTTAGCTAGCCTCTGTCCCCAGGCACCCCGTCCATACCCAATGGCTTCATGAACTAAATGGTTTTGGCAGCAAGGAGGTAATGCATGGGTTTAGCAACATGGACTTACTCATCAAGGCTGATCTATTCACAGCCACAGGTGAATGCTCAATCGGCCAACAGCAGAGATCAACACAGCCACTGACATGGTCCCTGGACCACTTCAATCAAAAACCAAAGGCAGCACTTAGTCCTCACTGGAGTAGACACTTGCTCTGGATATAAATTTATCTTCCCCGCCTGCAATACTGCTATGGAAACCACCATCTGTGAACTTACAGGATGCTTTATTCACTATTACGGTATTTTACTCAAAAGTATTACTTCTGATCAGTGAGCTTACTTTCCAGGAAATGAAGCATAACAATAAGTTCATACTTGTGGAATGCACTAATTTTACCATTTCCCCCACAATCCTGAAGCTACTGGGTGGCAAAAAGTAGAATGAGCTTTTGAAGATCCAGTAACAACGCTAGCTGGCTGGCAACACCTATAGGCTTGGGGCAATGTCTTCCAGGATTCTCAAATGCTCTAAACCAGTGACTAATACATGGTGTTGTTTCTTCCACAGCCAGGATTCACAGGTCTGGAAATCAACAGGTAGAAAATGGGAGCAGCTCCTTACTATTATAATAAATTGCTTATGAAATGTTTGCTTCCCAGCCCTACAATTTTTGGCTCTGATGGTCTAGAGGTTTTGGTTTCCAAGGGAAAAATGCTTCCATTAGAAAATAAGCGATGGTTCCATTAAGTCAGAAATTGATACTGTCATACCTGGTCACTTTGGGCTCCTCCTGCCAGTGAATCAACAGGCAGAAGGAATTACTGTTCTGGGCGGGATAACCGATTCTGTTGAGGAAACACTGAGTTGCTACCACATGGAGGGCTCAGAGATGATGAAGAGAAGTATGTCTGGAATGTAGCTCTCCTGGGATATGTTTTAGTTTCCCCATGTTAAAATGTTAAAGTTTACTATTAACTTTTATAGTATTATTATAAAAGTTGATGGAACCCAAAAATGGAACCCACAACCCAAAACAAGCAGGGCTGCTAAGCGCACAGACACTTTAGGAATGGAAGTTTGAGTTACCCCACTGAACTAGTAACCATTACCAGCTGAGATGCTTGCCAAGGGCAAAGGGACTATGGAATGAGTAGTGGAAGAGGGAAATTATAAATATCAGCTATGACCACATGACTGGTGACAGAAATGAGGAGTACAGTAGCTAGGGGTATTTCTTTCTTATTCTAAAATAAATATAATTGCCTATAAATTACCCAACTCTTTCTTTACCCTCATTGTTACTGGAATGAACTGTGTCTTCCTCAAATTTATAGGTTGAAGTCCTAATGCCCAATGAGACTGTATTTGGAGATAGGACCTTTAAGGAGATAATTAAGACTAAATAAGGTCTATAAAGTGGAACCCTAATCTGGTGGACTGGTGTTCTCATAGGGGAAAGAGACTGCTCTCTCCCACTCTCTCTCTGCACGTGTGCAGGCACAGAGAAAAAGCCACTTAAGGACAAAGGCAGCCAGCCACAGGCTGAGAAATCACACCAGAAGCCAACTCGGATGGCACCCTGACCTAGATTTCTAGCATCTAGAGATGTGGAAAATAAATTTCTGCTGCTTAAGCCACCCAGTGTGTAGTACCATGTTATGGAAGCCCTAGACAACTAGCACACCCAGTTCTGCCACTTCCCCATCACCTAACATGGGGTTTCTCAACTTCAGCATTATTGACATGAGGGGCGAGATGCCTTTGTCGTGGGGACCTGTCTCTCACACTGTAGGATGCTTAGCAGATTCCCTGGCCTCTACCCAGTAAACGCCAATAGCAGTGCCCCCCCGCCCCTGCCTCTACTAGGTACGATGAGAAAAATGCTTCCAGACATTGCCACATGTCTCCTAGGAGGAAAAATTACCTCCAGTTGAGACTCAAGATGCTTAAACAGTGGTTAACCTTTTATCTCAGGATTTATATTGCAGGATCTCAAAGTGGGAGAGAGACTCAGATAGAAAAGAAATGAACATTCATGATCAATAAAAGTAGACTTAGTATCCTTTTTGGAGACAAAGCTTGTCTTCAGGTATATGAAAGACAGTTGCACCTTGTGGATGGAAGCATAACTGTTCTCTATTTCATAAAGGTAGTTATAAGGGGTGTGAGTAGATGCCAAGTTGAAAAGGGAAGGACTGCAGGGGGGTTACGGTGTCACTTTGGTTATGCTGGGATTGATGCTTCCTTCCATGCCTCTAACTTAAAGCTGACCAAACAGCAACTGCATATGATCTGGGAAGCGGAGGTACAGCAGCAACCACACTATTCTCTTAAGGTCACCTCTGGCCCAAACACCCACTGCCAAGTATTGATAAATTACAGCTCCACCTTCAGCTCACCTCCTGACTACCCATCCTACAGGCCAAGCACTGCCCCAGCCACTACTTGGGTGTAGACAGAGCTTCCTGCTCACATTCCAACTTTAGCAGCCGGACATACTTGGCTTCTCAGAAACTGGCTGGAGATGCCTCCTGATCTACCAACTCTCCTTCTGAATTTTCACCTCCCCAAATACTTTCAAAACTGTATAAGGCCTAATTCCTGAAATATACTCATCGATGACTCTACTCTCCTGACTGACTGAACTCTGATCGTTCAGTGAACAAACAGCTAATGCAATAGTTCTATGCTATTCAATAATTCTTGTTTTAGACTATGAGAAGATGAAGAAAGGCAGCCCATCTCTCCCTGTATGGCCTGCTCCCTGTCCCCAAAGTCTTATAATTAGTAGAGAGTTAATAATAAGTTCATGTAGATAAGTAGGTAGAAATGATAAAATATCTATCAGTTTTCATTACTCCAAGTGCTTATAATCCTATCCTTTGCTGGCACAATCACTTGATGAAGACATTTCCAAGTTGAAACCTTTCTTAGAATGAAAGATGTTACATTGTTCCCAAAGGGTTTTTCTCAGAATAAATTTTACAGTAGGCAAATTTCATTCAATGACATAAAATACAGCACTGTGGTTTAATTCAAATTTTTAAGAAAGAAGATGACAGTAGATGAAAGTAGTTTACTTAAGAATCTTGGGACTTCCCTGGTGAACCAGTGGTTAAGACTCAGTGCTTCCAATGCAAGGGGCTCAGGTTTGATCCTTGGTGGTAGAACTAGACCTTACATACAACAACTAATGATCCCAAGAGCCTGCAAGCTGCAACTACAAGAACCTGCATGACACAACTAAGATCTGGCACAGCCACAGACATAAATAAAGATTTTTTTAAAAAAGAATCTTTACCTTTGTATTCCTTATAACAATTGGATATTTCATTCCTGAAAAAAAAATTAGTGAAAGATTTATTTTTAGCAAAAGAAGGCCTACATTAAATGAAATATTATTCTAGTCATAAATTTCAAGGATTATCTCTGTCATAACCATGACTGGCTCCTACTTTTCATTCTAAAGTTTTCTTTTTACCAAGTAATGAGATTCAACTAGTTAATATTTGACAATACATAAAACTCTGGCATGTTTTTCAGCATATTTTATTTTAATTCATTTAATCTGTAAACCATTCCCCACCTCAGCTCCCACATTAGAAGGCCCAGCTTTTCTGTGAACCACAATCCTAGAAAACATGGTATAAAATGAACCATCACAAATCGGTATGTATTTTTCTGTTGGAAGAATGCTATGACGTCATTCAAGTGTTCGTTATCTGAATCCTTGCAGATTCTAGATTGTATAGAGAAGCAAGAGTTATTAAAACACAAAATTTCCAATGATAAACTATTTCTAAAATTTGTTCCCAATCAGATACATGTGATCTTAAAGACCTATAATGCATATGGATAGCAGGTAAAGAATATGATTTACTTACATCATAAATTTGATTGATTATGCTACCTACCTAACAATCTCAATTATTTAACAATTTTGCTCATCATCTTAGAATTTAGAAGGACACTGGGAGAATGACTGCTTCAGATAACCCAGATCTCCTTAAAGGCCTGTCAAGAAAGACTGAACCGAGTACTACTTCTTTTTCCCTTCAAATTTCCAAACAACAAATTTAAAGCTTAACAACTAATTCATTTGGTTTAAAAAAAAAATCTGTGCCCCTAAAGCAAAACAAAATAAACTCTAAGTGCAGGTTACAGTGGGGGAGTTGGGGGATGGGGGGTTCAGAATGGCTGAGTCATGTCCTATCCCCAGACAGTCTGATTCAGTAAGACTGAAGGATGCTAAAATCTGCCCTTTTAACAAGCATCCCCAGGGCATTCTGAGTCTAACCTATTGGATAGGAAAGTGTTTGGTAGCTAAGTGCACTTCTGCACCTGCTTCCAGCGCTGTGCCCTACTGCAGCTAGCTCCAGGTGAGCCTCTTGTCAGCGCTACCCTAGGCAGAAACAGTCCCAAGTTTCTTTAAAGTAAATTCAAGTATTCAACAGAAAAGACAAGGACAGCTTACCATCTTTACTTCTCGAAGGGCTTTCTCTAGCCATTTCAATATCTTTTACTTCAAAATTGGTCAAAACAGAGCCACCTGCTTCTTGGAAATCCTTGGCAAATGACAAAGCCACCTGCCGATAGTCCACAATGCCAGTATAAGGACAATCAATAGCCATTAGACCCTGGGACAGAATTGTGAAAAAATCAAGACAATATAATTAAAAACTGCTGAGGATAGGCTCTCCAGTGAGGTTTCCCTGATGGTTCAGTGGTAAAGAATCCACCTGCCAATGCAGGAGACTCAAGCTTGATCCCTGGGTCGGGAAGATCCCCTGGAGGAGGGCACGGCAACCCACTCCAATATTCTTGCCTGGGAAATCCCATGGACAGAGAAGCCTGGAGGCTACAGTCCATGGGGTCTAAGAGTGGAACATGACTTAGCAACTAAACAACAGGTTATCCAACAAATTTGATCTTTGGCTGAATTTTTTTTACTGTTTATATTGATGGGTAACTCACAGTTAGCCTTTCCTGGCAAACATCTGATAGTCTTAAAGAAAAATAAGATAAAAGCTTTCTTAATTCAGTGCCTAAATTTGATACTGAATACATATACAAATTGTCTAACAGATAATAGAAATAATACTAGCTAAATAAGAAAACCTCTATAATCTGGAAATAATTCTTCTCCTTAGAGGAGATAATTTTTCCAGGCTCTTCCAGCTGCTACAATTGAGTCTTTTAGTTTTATTTATCCTTAACCATATCTGATTCTGAGTCAAATTCTGTATTACCAATTTCTTTATATAAACTGCACTAAGATTTTCCCAGTAGTATATTCTCTGTCATGCACACTCAATGAGAGCTCAGAGTTGTTCACAATGTTTTCAGAGTATTGATTTGATTTGTTGCAGAATCTAGCTTCAAGACTGCAACTACTGAATGGAGATTTTATGTGGTTAATTCAAACTTTCTGTTCAGGTAATATGGAGAAATTAATAGCCTGGGTATTTAGTTGCTATGTTGGAGTGTGTGTGTGTGTGAGTTACTCAAAACAAGTTTAAACTCTGTAAATGAATGATCTACAACCATACATATTTAATTTTTCAGAATATGTGTTGAATGTGCATAGGCCTTTTCTAATTGTAAAGAAAAGGATACAAGTAGAATTTCACACACTAAATACTGACTACATTTTGGTGAGTGCTTGGAAATGGCATCATTTTCTGTTGCCTTATTGTATATAAGAGTAAATCAGTTCTCTCAATCAATTTCCCCTGATAGGGCAGACTGGTTCCCAGGATAACTAAAGCCCAGAAGTTGAGTGCAACTTAAGTGCTACCATCCTCCTGGGCAGCACTGCACTGCTGTCACAGTTTTAAAATGACATCTGATAATATTAAATATCACATCTGTATTCACTGCTCCACCCCAGCCCAGTGCATTTACCTGTCTGGGCTTTAAAAGCTTTTGATTTTGCCACTCAACCCTGACCAATGTTTCCAAATGGCCAGATGGCACTAAAAGTGAAGGCTCACAATCTCAGGCTCTTTTCACAAGCTGAACCTAACATGTGGCAAAATTCATCATTTTCCTAACAGTCTGGCTTCCAGAATTTGAGAGCATTTGCCAAGAATAGGAAATCATTCCTTCTGTTTCAACACAGTAGACACATGTAAGATTTTACACTAGAACTTCTATTGCCTGAAATTCCTAGATTCACAGGTCAAATAAGTAGAATTCAACTTCAACCTACAAATAGTATCTGGGATACAATAACCTTGGAAGCTAATTTAAGATAATACTAAGAGTTTAGTCACAAAAACTTCTTTACATAGCATAGAACTATGTGATAAGTATGATAACAGAGGGGCAAAATAACATGTGTACAAGTGTTTCATATCAACCTTTTTTTCACCCCAAATACCGTCCTTATTCATCTTCTACTCCTCTAATCCAGCACATGCCTGACACCCACAGAAGGCACTCAAATATTTACTGACTGAATGAACTTTGGAGGGCTGTCTTTAAACATATACCAAACCTTACCCTTCCTAACAGCTTTCCTTCTTCCTTCCCTTTCTCGTCTTGGCTCTGACCCTCCTCGTGAGATGCTGGTGTGCCTTGCCCGAATGTGGATGAGGGGGAAGGCGGGACAAATCCCTGTTGCCAAGCTGTTGGCACTCTGACCTAGGGCAGGGTCAGGGGACAGGCTGGCTGTCAGCCAGCAGACTGCCTGAGCACTGTCCAGGTCACCAGGTCAGAGCTTGGAATCTGATATCGTGGCAGGTCAGGTGGTTGGAAAAGAACCAGGCAAGTGGGTCAGGGAAAGCTTAGAGCTGGCAGTCAGTCAGGAGGCTAGAGGAATATGTGATTGACCAGTAGCGTTAAAATAAGGCAGCTGGATCAGCACACCTGAGGTCAGAGGAAGCGGTCAGGATAGAGAGGCACAGAGAGCACTGTCAGGAGCCATCCTTCAAAGCTTACAGATGCACTTTAAAACTTTCTCAGATACTCCCACTAGGGGCACTTAATTTTCTACTTAAAGAGATCTGATACAAGAAACCCTTTCAGAGTTCCCCTGACAAACTGTTTCCTTCTGGAGGGCCTGGGAGAAAGAGAAGAGACCCTATACCATGGAAAGTTTGCCACCCATTCCTGGTAGTGGTCATGAATTTGGGGGAAAAGGGAGAAATTTACTCAAGACACCATTATGAAAAACCAAAGTATACTTTCCACTATATATTGCCATCCCTAAAAATGCCTAGATATTGATAACCATAATGTGGCCTTCTATAAGGTAGATCACTACTGCAGAGGCCTCAGGGAAGGGTAACGTACACCTCTCTTAGAAGTGGCACTACTTACTCATCTTTCAAGCAGGGGCCTCACCTCTGAGAAGACTTTCCTAGACTCCCGGACTAAACTAAAAGCTCTCCCTTACCTTGGTACAAGACAGAGTATCAGTTCTACCATAATACTTCTCACTATATTAAAACTATCTTCTGCCACACTCTATTCTTTCAGGGTCATGGCAATGTCTTACCTTCACATCTGCAGTACCCACTGGAGTGCTGGGCACACAGTAAAGAAGAAAATGTTGGTCAAATTCACATGGTTATCTATATATACATACTTCACTGCGTCATTCTGAGAAGTGTGAGGATCACATGGTCAGGTAGGTGCACAGAACAATATCCAGACTCATCCCTAGTCTTTATGATGTACAAAATGCTGTTTTGTTTTGTTTTTAACAGTATGGCATGATATAAAGAACCATGGGTCCTTCTTTTTCTATTTTCTTTTTCAATTCCTAAAGTTATCAGATACACAACAGATGACTGTTGCTTCAGTTGACTAGCTGGAATCTTCCAAATCCCCAAGATTTCAGTACCATCACAAAATCAATAACTTTGTTTCCCAAACTCCAGAGTCAATATTGTTTTTACATCATGACCAAATCCACAGTGGGGTCAGGGGCTCATATGTCTTTTTATTAATTTTTAACACTAATCTTAAAGTCTGAAACAGTTTCTTGATAGTACATAAAAACAGAAACACATGTTAAAAATTAGCATGCCTCTCTGGGGGAGGTTATAAATTGTTTTATTTTCAAATGCCAGGTAATACTTGATACAGATCAGTGAGATTCTGACATCTTAGTTTCATAACCAAACACTATCAAAATCACACAAAACAATACAACAGAAACAGGTTTAGCTGTTTTATAATCAGGAAGCACTCAATAATTCTTGTAAAGCACTGTATAAATAAGAGATTGGAAGCAAGTTTAATTTCATTTTTTTAGTAGATTTGATTTTTTAGAGCAGTTTTAGGTTCACAGGAAAACTGAGCAGAAGGAACAGAGATTTTCTGCATATTAATACTTCCTGCCCCCATATGTATACAGCTCTCTAATCTCTTTAATACTAATATTTTTTTCCTTTTAAGTATGGCATTAGTATAAACAACCAGTTCTGCTATAGACTGAATGCCTGTGGGCCTCCAAGATTCATAGACTAAAACCTAATGACCAATGTGACAGTATTTGGAGATGGGGCATTTGGGAAGTGATTAGGTAATAAGGATGGAGCCTTCATGAACGGGATTAGTAGCTTTATAAGAGAGACTCCAGAGAGCTCCCTCACCCCTGAAGTATTTTGAGAACACAGCTAGAAGATGGTCTATGAACCAGGAAGTGGGTCCCCACCAGACATCAAATCTTTCAGAGCCTTGATCTCAGACTTCTAGCCTCTAGAACTATGAGAAATAAATACCTGACACTTATAAGCTAACTGGTGCACTTTCCAGATGGCACTAGTGGTAAAGAATCCACCTGCCAACATAAGAGACACAGAGAAGACAGCTGAATCCCTGGGTCGGGAAATCCCCTGGAGTAGGAAGTGGCAACCCACTCCAGAGTTCTTGCCTGGAAAACTCCATGAGCAGAGGAGTCTGGCGGGCTACAGTCTATAGGGTTGCAAAGAGTCACACACGACTGAGCACACACGTTGCTGCAGCCCCAACTGACAAGCTCTTATGAGTTACTCACAACCCTAGTTTGAAGATATCCTAGGATCTCTCAACAATGTTTTGAAATAGCCTCTTTTATTCTACAGAGGAATTGACATGACTTAAAGGAAATAAACAAAGTATTTACAAGCAAAGTATTAGGAAAAGGGGAAAATGTAAACCAGGAGAAAAAGAATATAAAAAAGTTATCTTATCAGATATCATGAAAAGTACCCAAGTATCTCAAAAAACAATCAATTTTAATTCACCAGAATTACTGCTCACATAAAGCACAAAATAACAACCATCACTTCTTGAGGATTAACATATCCTGGATGCTTTACATATATTATTCTATTTAATTCTCAGAACAACCTCCATTTTACAAACAAGGATTCTGAGGTTTAGAAAAATGTTAACTTAAGGTAAACAGCTGTTAAATAGGCAGATATGAGATTTAAATTTATGTCTGTCTCACTTCTCAGCCACTACAAACTGCTGCTCATCTTATGTCAGATCCCATTTTATGGGGGAAAAAAAGAGAAAATACAGTAAGATAAAGAATAGTATGTCAAAACTGCCTTAAGTTTAGAAATTACTGACCTATGATATACAGTAGTAGTAATGTTAGTTGCTCAGTCGTGTCCCACTCTTTCAGACCCCATGGATTTTTAGCCTGCCAGGCTCCTCTGTCCATGGAATTCTCCAGGCAAGAGTACTGGAGTGGGTTTCCATTTCCTTCTCTAGGGGATCTTCCTGACCCAGGGATCAAACCCGGGTCTCTTGTATTGCATGTAGATTCTTCACCATCTGAGCCACCAGGGAAGCCCGGCAGAAAGGAATCAGGTATTCTAAAAATAGGGGACAACAGAGGATGAGATGGTTGGCTGGCATCACCGACTCAATGGACATGAGTTTGAGGAAGCTCCATGAGTTGGTGATGGACAGGGAAGCCTGGCATGCTTCAGTCCATGGGGTCACAGTGTTGGACACAATTTAGTGACTGAACTGAACTAATTCTAAACGTAACTATAAATAGGTAGTGTTAGTGGTGTCACAGTGAGTAAAGCTGCTTCCAAAAATAAATATATAAATGGCTCTGACCTCCCACTTCAAGGCTCCCCTCTCTCCCATGACCAGTTTCATCCTATGTACCAGAGTTCGATTAACTTTTCCTTAATTAACACAGTTTGCATATCATTTTCCTGCCAAAATCCTTCAGTGGCTCCCTACTGTTTAGATCAGGAGCTGGTAATTTTTTCTATAAAGGGCCAGATAGTAAATATTTTTGTCCACGTGAAGCTTAAGGTTCTAATTACTTGAGGTGGCTGTTTGGCACAAAAGCAGCCACAGACAACACATAAATGAGTAAGTATGGTTGTATGCCAATAAAAATTTGTGTGACACTGAAATTTCATTTCATATAATTTTCATTGTCACAAAATATTATTCTTTTAATTTTTCTCGACCATTTAAAACAGCTTAATAGGTCATTAACAACAGGTTGTGGGCTTGGCCCACACTGGCCAGTTTGCCAATCCTGGCTTAAGACATGTAGCATTTGCTCAAAGCCAGAAGAAAACAGACAAAATCAGATAGTCAATGAATGCATCTTCTTTTTATTAAAAAATCATTCATTCATTCATCATCTCATAGAAATAAGAACTATATGGGGAGAGGAAAAGGGAGAAGAAGATCTGCTCCCACGAGGAAAACACTCTTAATATTCTGAATCCGAAGGGAGAGAGAGGTGAAGTATGCTAGAGTCGAAGAGCTATGACCTTCTCTGCAGGAAGAACTCATTCAATGCTATCTGGATTCCTGGGTACTACCAATCTCTTGAGAACTTTATACTACTTAAGAAAATCAAGTATTTTGATCTAACCTTAACTGCACAACTAAAGATAACTTAAGAAAAATTAATTCCATATTGTCTTTGTGTAAAAGGATTTGAAGCAGCTTGTAAAAACAAACAAAAATACATACAAAACAATATATACAAGCATTAAATTTTAAACCAGACAAGTATATGGATTGGAAGTTATTATTTGCAGACAATATGGTTGTATATAGAAGATACAGAAGGAGAATTAGGACTTCCATAGCAGTCCAGTGGTTAAGAATCCATGCTCCCACCACAGGGGGTGCAGGTTCTATCCCTGGTTGGGGAACTAAGATCCTATGAGCCACGCTAAATGGGAAAAAAAAAAAGAATTTATAGACAAACTGTTAGAATCAATGAGTTAATTAAGCAACCAAAATGAAGCAGGTAATGTTCTGTTTGTTGATCTCGATGCTGATCACATTTCATGAAAATTCATCAAGTTGATGATTTTGGATGTACTGATATGCTAGGATTCAATAACAAGTTCCAAAAAATAAGAGCATACAGAAAACAAAGATGAAAAGACAAGACGAAACAAAGAGTGAAATTAGTGCATAAAAATAAAAATGTATGCTTAAGGCTATAGATAATTGGCAAGAGTAGGGCACAAATGTGTCCTGCTTAGGATCAAGGCAAACAGTTCAATGCAATCAGTTACAGTGTCCACAGACAGAAACTGCTCAGGAAGAAAAAATTATACTTAAATCTGGGGTCTGAGAGAAATTTCTCCTGAGTGTTCTCAAAAAGATGTTATTTAACAGTGAACCTGTCTTCTTACAGCAGAGGCCTTAGTGAGTGACACAATGATTTTCTCCATAGGCTGATACCAAAACACCAAAACACAACTCAAGGAGAGTAATCTGGGGTCAAGGAGTAGGTGGGGGGAGAAAAACACTACATACAGTATAGATGTACCACAATCTGGTGGTCTGAAGAGATGTATAAGAATGAACAGCCTACATGACATCTAGGCTCTCTTCTTTAAACAGTGTTTCTCTAAAGCAAGCTTTTGATAAGCATTGCCTGACAGTGAGTTCAAGGCCATACTCACTAAGCTAGATACCCATCTTAGTGATAGGTATAATTGTATGTTATATACAATTATAATATTGTATAATGTCATTAAAACACTGGGGACAGATGTAGAAAGCAAACCTATGGTTACCTGGGGGTAAGTGGAGGTGGATAAATTGGGATTGATATATACACACTACTGTATATATTAAAATATATACATATAAAAGATATGAATAAATAAAATAGACAAAATAGATACATGGTGGTGGTTAGCTGCTTCAGTCATGTTGTACTCTTTTGCAACCCCATGGACAGTAGCCCACCAGTCTCCTCTCTCCATGGGATTTTCCCAACCAGGATACTGGAGTGTGTTGCCATGCCCTCCTCCAGGGGCTCTTTCTGACCCAGGGATTAAACCCACATCTCCTGCACTGCAGGAGGATTCTTTCGTATTGAGCCACTGGGAAAGCCCATAGGTTCTTATTAGTTACCTATTTTTACATATAGTATATATATACATATACATATACTATTATTGTGTATATATTATACATATATACATGCACAATTTGGGCTATATACATATATGTACTTTTATCTTATTTTACACACACACACACACATATTTTGGGAAGATCCCCTGCAGAAGGAAATGGCCACCCACTCCAGTATACTTGCTGGGAAAATTCCATGGATAGAGCAGCCTGGTGGGCTACAGGCCATGGGGCTGCAGAAGAGTCAGATATGACTTAGTGACTGAACTACAACAACAATAAGGACCTACCGTATAGCACAGGGAACTCCACTCAATACTCTGTAATGGCCTATATGGGAAAAGAATCTAAAAAAGAGTGGTATGTGTATATGTATAACTAATTCACTTTGATGTACACCTGAAACTAACACAACATTGTAAATTAACTATATTCCAATAAAAAAAAAAAAACCCTGAGGAATGGAAAACAGGAGATACAGCAATTCACTGTAACAGTCAGTGGAGTGGAAATTGGACAGTAGCCTCTAAAAGGCTATCAAGGAAAGTTGATAAGCAGAGTGATTATTATATATATATATATTCAAGTCTCCATCACAAATAAAGATCTGGTTTTCCTCATAGCTTGTTTTAAGCCAGATACTCTATAACCCACGCTTCACACCTCCTGAAGCAGATCAAGATACTGCAGCCATCCTCCTCAAAAATTTTCAGTGGCTACTCATGGCTACTGGATAAACTTCAAAGTATTAGCATGAATATCAGGCCGTTAATGTGGGCTAGTTCTGCCTTTCCAATCTCATGTGTTATCTCTCACTACATACCCTGCGACCCAACCAACCTCACCACTCAGGGCTTTCCCAACACGTCACAGGGTCTCACACCTCCTCTTGCCTTTACCTGTGTCCTCTGGACCTGGTAGTTTCTCATAGGGAAGAAGAAATCAGCATCCAGAGTTTGTGACAATGCCCTCTTGTGTCTGTCACCTCAATGCTCCTATGACAAGATGATCTGTTTCTGTGATTCCTGCTTCCTGTAAGCTCACCCCCAGCCTCCATGTCACAGGACTGAGCCCCAACTGAAAACATCCCTGTGAGCATGTGTGTGGGGGTTAGCGAATCACTTACCCTACAATATGGCTCCTTCTTTTTTATGTCATCCTGCTGGATCAGCCTCAGGCCCTGGACACCATTCTGCAGGCCTCTCTCATACAGGGCCTGAAGTCTGGGAATTTCTTCTTGTTCAACAGCCACTATAAGCTTAAAAAGAAAAAACATAAAGAATATGAATAAAGTTAAACATATCAACAGCTATGAAAGATAAAGTCAAGAGAAAATCATAAGCTATTGTATGATTCAAATTGGGTTGAGCTTTAAAAACTGCTTTCTGCTTCGTGTATCTACTTCTCCCTTTCTCCATGACTTCATTCTTCCTCCACCAAAAATATTTGTCTTTAGACTGCATTAAAACAAAGGTGAGGCGTAGCCTCAGTTTTCACATCTGCCATCACAGTTGCTATGTGCGTCTTGGCCATACCTATCCCCATCACTATTTCAATCCCAGAGGCGAACAAAGCACAGCTTGTTTTATCTTTACATTAAAAAAACAAAAAACAGGGTATCATAGAGATAGGAAGTATTCAGTATAATGGGATATCACTAACAGAAAACTATTTTCTGGAAAAAAGTACATTTCAAAATATTTACTGATGCATTCTGTCACAGAGGAGAAAAACAGAAAATTCATCAACTTTACTCAAGATTCCTTTTCTATTAATGTTTATTTCTGGGCAAAGTATCTGTTTGAGGTAGTTTCTTTCTCACTTAACAGTAACCAGCAAAGGAAAACACAGATGATATTCACAAGTACATTAGAATTCAAAAATCACTATTTCATAGCAAGGAGTCAATCACACTCCATGAAGTAATACTTTTAATCAAAGTGTAAAGGTTATTTAAATTACCAAATACTTAACCTTAAAAACAGATGTGGAATCAGATGGCACTATCAAGAAAGTAAAAAGATAATGCACTGAACGGGAGAAAATATTTGTAAATCATATCACTGATAAGGATCTAATGTGCAGAATATATCAAGAACCCTTTTCAAACTCTGTACAGACTTCCATATACAAAGTAAGTAAATTACAGGGATGTAATGTACATCATGGTGACTATAGTTAGTAATTGTGTATTTATAGTTAGCAATTGTGTATAGTTAGTAATTGCATATTTGAAAGTTGCTTAGAAAGTAGATCTTAAAAGTCCTCATTATGGACTTCCCTGGTGATCCAGTGGTTAAGAATCTACCTGCCAATGCAGAGGACATGGGTTTAATCTCTGCTCTGGAAAAATTCCACATGCCGAGGGGCAACTAAGCCCATACACCACAACTACTGAGGCCAGTGGACTCTAGAGCCCATGCCTGGCATTAGGAAAATCCACCACCCAAAGCATGTGCACCACAACTAGAGAGTGGCCCGTTCTTTGCAACTAGAGAAAGCCTGCGTGTAGCAACAAAGAACCAGCTAAAAATAAAGAAATAAATACAATATTTTTTAAAAGATCATATAATATTTTTTTAAAAGTCCATCATCACAAAGAAAAAATTCTTACATGTTAATCATACTTCAATTTAAAGAAATAAAAAGACATCAAACTTGATTTAAAAAAAAAGAAGCTGGAGATGGGCAAAGACTCAAATAAGTGACTGAACCAGGAAAATTGTGAAATCAGGTTATTTAGTCACACTGACATTGCCATGGCCTGGAAACAGCAATCTGTAAATTAATCCCTGGAGCTGAGCTGAGTGGGTTAAAAGCAATGACATGATTTGATGTGAAGAGGGAATATGAAGTAGTATTCAAGACTCCAGAAAGAAGCAGGTGTTACAGAGCTCAAAATCATCCTATGGGCAGGAATATGGCCTGCTATGTTTCTCAGAGGTGTTCAGTGGATGCTGGTTGGTTCCTTTGGCTTAAAGGACTGGAAAATAAACCAACCAACCAACCCTCATAATGCAACCATAAAAACTGTAAATACACATCCACATTTTGCTTTTTTTGCTTAATAGTATGTCAAAACCATTTTCCCACATCATTAAAAAATTCTTCATAGCATTTTTAAGGGCAACAATGAACTTTTATTCTTAAAAATTACATGGAGAGGAGCTATAAGGAAATACTGTGAACAACTGCAAGCCAACAAATTAAATAATTTATATGAAATGAGCAAACTCATAGAAAGACACAAACTTCTGAAATTGACTCAAGAAGAAAAAGAATACGTGAGTAGACCTGTAACAACTAAAGAAACAGAATTAATAACTTTTAACGGTTCAGACCTCATGAATGCTACCAAGTATTTAAAGAATTAGTACCAATTCTTCACAAAGTCTCCCAAAAAAACAGAAACAGGAACACTTCCTAATTCAACAAGATCAGTTTAGAACAGTCAAACAAGACAAAGACATCAAAAGAAAACAAAAACTGCATATCAACATCCCTTATGAATATTGATACAAAAATTCTGAACAAAATACTAATAAACTGAATGTGGCAACATATAAAAAGAATTATATATCAAGATCAAGTGAGATTCACTGCAGGAATGCAAGACCTACTAAACCTCCAAAAGTCAATGAATGTAATAATTCATATTAATAGAATGAAGGACAAAAACCACATGACTGCCTCAACAAAAGTGGAAAAGGCATTTGAGGAAATCCAACATGTTTTCATGATTGGACTGTGCTAAGTCGCTTCACTTGTGTCCAACTCTGTGTGATCCCATGGACTGCAGCCCACCAGGCCCCTCCATCCATGGATTCTCCAGGCAAGAACACTGCAGTGGACTGCCATTCCCTTCTCCATTTCATGATTAAAAACACTCCACAAAATACAAGTAGAAAGGAATTTCCTCAGTCTAGTAAAGGCATCTTAAAAAAAAAAAAAAAACGCATAGCTGTCATTATACTTAATAGTGAAAGATTGAATGCTTTCTTTCTAAAATCAGAAACACAAGGATATCTACTTTGACTATTTCTATTCAACACTACATTAGAGATTCTACGCAGGTAAAGCTAGGCTTTGCATTCATGTGAAGTCACTTCCACCATGTCTGACTCTGTGACCCCATGGACTTTAGACTGCCAGTCTTCTCGGTCCATGGGATTCTCCAGGCAAAATACTGGAGTGGATTTCCATGCCTTCCTCTAGGGGATCTTCCCAACCCAGAGATCAAACTCACGTCTCCTGGGTCGCTTCCATTTGCAGGTAGGTTGTTTACCACGAGCACCACCTTTGGCAGTATGTGAACCATGAACTTACAGATGTACAAGCTGGATTTAGAAAAGGCAAAGGAACCAGAGACCAAACTCCCAGCATTCACTGGGTCATAGAGAGAGCAAAGAAATTCCAGAAAAACATCTACTTCTGCTTCACTCACTACACTAAAGCCTTTGACTATTGGGATCATATAAACTGTGGAAAATCTTAAAGAGATGGGAAAACCAGACCACCTTTCCTGTCTCCTAAGAAACCTGTATGCAGGTCAAGAAGAAACAGTTAGAACCGGACATAGAGCAACGGACTAGTTCCAGTTGGGAAAGGAGCAGGTCAAGGCTGTATACTGTCACTCTGCGTATTTAACTTCTATGCAGAGTACATTATGCAAAATGCCAGACTGGGTGAATCACAAGTTGGAATCAAGATCACCAAGACTAAACAAAAAGATTACTGAGAGAAATATCTACAACCTCAGAACCTCAGATATACAGATGAAAAATGGCAGAAATTGAAGAGGGAAGAAAGAGCCTCTTGATGAAGGTCAAAGAGGAGAGTGGAAAAGTGGGCTTAAAACTCAACATTTAAGGAACTAAGATCATGGCATCCAGTCCCATCACTTCATAGCAAATAGAAACAGAAACAGAAACAGTGGAAACACTGACAGATTTTATTTTCTTGGGCTCCAAAATCACTGCAGATGGTGACTGAAATCATGAAATTAAAAGACACTTGCTCCTTGGAAAGAAAACTATGACAAACCTAGACAACATATTAAAAAGCAGAGACATTAGTTTTCTGACAAAGGTCCATATAGTCAAAGCTGTGGTTTTTCCGGTAGATAGGTATGGATGTGAGAGGTGGGCCATAAAGAAGGCTGATGCTTTTGAAATGTGGTACTGGGGAAGACTCTTGACAGTCCCCTGGACTACAAGGAGATCAAACTAGTCAATCCTAAAGGAAATCAAGCCTGAATATTCATTGGAAGGACTGATGCTGAAACTCTAATACTTTGGCCACCTGATGCAAAGAGTCAACACATTGAAAAAGACCCTGATGCTTGGAAAGATGGAAGGTAAGAGGAGAAGTGGGCAACAGAGGATGAGATGGTTGGATAGCATCACTGACTCAGTGGGCATGAAACGGAGCAAACTCTGGGAGATAGTGAAAGACAGGAAAGTCTGGTGTACTGCAGTCTAAGGGGTCACAAGGAATCAGATATGACTCAGTGACTGAACAATTCAACACTCTATTGTTGTATTGTACCACAGGTCAGTAGGTGCCCAATATGCTACTGGAGATCAGTGGAGAAATACCTCCAGAAAGAAAGAAGAGGGTGCCATGTAAGGCCACCCAAGATGGATGGGTCCTGGAGCACACAAGGTTTTGTTTGTGCCCTCCAAGAGTCTGTTCCCCCAGTCTTGATCACATGGACCACAGCCTTGTCTAACTCAATGAACTATGAGCCATGCCATGTAGGGCCACCCAAGACAGACGGGTAATGGTGGAGAGTTCTGACAAAACATGGTCTACTGGAGAAAAGAATGGCAAACCACTTCAGTATTCTTGCCTTGAGAACCCCATCAAAGGTATGAAAAGGCAAAACGATAGGACACTGAAAGATGAACTCCCTAGGTCAATAGGTACCCAATACACTTTCGGAGATCAGTGGAGAAGTAACTCCAGAAAGAATGAAGAGACAGAGCCAAAGAAAAAACAACACCCAGTTGTAGATGTGACTGGTGATGGAAGTAAAGTCCAAGGTTGTAAACAGCAATATTGCATAGGAATCTGGAATGTTAGGTCCATGAATCTAGGCAAACTGGAAGTGGTCAAACAGGAGATGGCAAGAGTTAACATCGACATTTTAGGAATCAGTGAACTATAATGGACTGCAGTGGGTGAGTTTAACTCAGATGACCATTCTATCTACTACTGAATCCCTTAGAAGAAATGGAGTAGCCATAATCGTAAACA